GCTGAAAAGAAGGAGCTCTGGCCCCATGTCTGGGGGCCAGAGGAGTGAATCTTGCAGGCTGCCGACTCCCCACTGCGTGCTCCATTCTTGAAGCACAAGCTCCACCTCCTGCCATTGGCTCGCAGGGGCTAGTCGAGGGGAACCTGTCGGCGCCAAACTGCTGCCGTGCCACGGTGTGGCCGGTTTAAACATCTGGTAGAGCCCCCCCCCTCCTCCGAATTAGTGTGTGACTTGACCCGGCGTCTCCAGCTGGAATCTCTCCGATGTTCAGCGGCTCGCTGGGCTACGCCAGCTTGCTGTCTGGCTTGAATGGCAATAGCCAGCGCGAGATCGCCCGAGAGCGAAGACGCCACCTCCAGCAAAAGCACCCAAGGCGGGACGCTGGCATCGGTAAATCTCCCTCCTCGGACGGCAAGCTTACTGCACAGGCCAAGTGCGGCCCGCCTCTGCGCGGCAGACTGCTGCTTGCCTAGCTCAGAAAAAGCTTGCACCACTAGTCGCCACCAGGTGGCGAGAGGAGAGATGCGTGGAAAAGGCAGCGCTGAGGGCCCCTGGGCCTGCTGGCGCTGGCGAACAAGTGGCTTCGCCCTCCCTGCGTACATGCGGGCCTCGCCCTGCGGGATCTGGTAGATGTTCAGGAACTCCGACTCCATGGCCCGCGCGAAGCTGACCCGCAGCTCCTGCGTGCCAGCCTCGGCGAGCACCTTGTTTGTGACCTCTGTCCAGCGGCTGCACTCCTGCAGCGGGCCCTGCGGACGCTGCCGTGGGAACATGCGCGGAACGCGCACCTGGGGAGGAGTGGGGAGCTGCCGAAGACCAGGGAGCTGAAGCCGAACTGGAAGATGTGGAGTGGTGCCCACGTCCGTGAGCACTGTGAGCTGGTGGCCGTACCGCAAGCCTTCGGACACAACGTAGTAATCCAGAACCCTGCCATGGCCACTCATGCACGCGTTGAAAGTGGGGGCCAGGATGTGCCCAGAGGGAGCCTGCACCCAACCTGAGCCCGATAGCTCCTCCGGGCGACCTGACCAGGGCGCCCAGCTTGCACAGCAAATGCCAGTTGATGGGCGCAAGGCCAACCGCGTCATGCATGTAGACCGTGGCCCATAAAACTCCGCCTGGACAGACTCCAGACATGTGGCGTACTGAAATGCGAGCGGGCTCGAGCACGGCATCCTGACCGTGCAACACTGATTGCCCATGACGCTGCGGAACCATCTGAAAGAGACCTCCTGACGTGCCTCCTTGTCCTGTAGGCACTGCGGCCGTGGCCGAGGCCCTCCAACCCATGTGACGGAGACGCTGCTCCCACCCTTCACAATGAAGAAGGTGATGTTCCTGGATGCCGATAGCGTCTGCATCCAGGATGTGTCCGGACTCAAGCGCGGCTTCGAGCCCAACCCTGCCTGAGACATTGGCCGTAACGAAACTCCACTGGCTAAACTCTCGACGAGGAATATGATGTGCGACTGCGCTTGCTCTTCTGCTCCTGCATGGCCGACAGCAGTTCTGAAAGAGAACGCGACTGATCTTGGGCCGAGGGGGCTGCGCGCCGTCGACTCCAGCGCTGGCTCCCTCCGAGTCTTCATCCATGGAATCGTCGCCTTCCACGGGGACACCCTGAGCCTTGAGGAAGTCTGTGAAGAACTCTGGCTTGCCGCACTCAGCCCAGAAATCAGCTCCTGGGACGCCTGGCACGCCATCACCAGACTGGCTGCCTGCGACGGGCGCCGCGACTGGTGGCGCCTGCTGCTCTGCGGGCGGCTGGGGGGGGGGCTGCTGCTTGCAGAGCTCTTCTTTGACACTGACGGCGATAGGCTTGAGCAGCTCGGCGGCAGAAGGCAGGACGGACTGCAAGCTGGCGACGAGCCTCTCAAACTGCCCCGCGGGATCTGGTACAGGAGCGGCGCTGGCCGACATGGCGGCGTAGGCCTAGGCCGCACGCTTGGCGGCCTTATCCGCCTGCACCCTGCACTCGGCAAGGTGTGTGGCGCACTGCTGCATGTGCTCCATGGCCTTGGCAGCGGCCACAGCTGACTTGTCATATCTGGACTGCGCCTGCTCGAGCTTCTGTTGAAGGAGATCGGACTGCTGACGCGCGGCGCGCGCTGTGGGGGCGGGCTCTCCTGCCCCCAGGCTGCGCGCCGCTGCAACTCGAGCACGACACTTAGCTGGCCAATTCTTCGAGATGGTGTCGAAATCGCTGGCGTCCATCTTGGCATAGGCGCCCAGCAGCTCATCTGTGAGAACAGGGCCAGCAGGCTGACTGCGCGGAGGCCCATTCTGCCACTTCCCCGACGGCGGCCGCTGCTGAGCGGCGTCAGGGCGACGCGACTGCTGTCCGCAGATGCGGCAGCTGGTTCTCCATGGGAAATTACCTTTGTAGCCACACCTCTTGTTAGTGCAAGTCCAACTCTGCGCATCATACATGATGTGAGCGGTGCGCCAAAGAGGACGAGACAGGAGGTGCAATACCGATGTGGTGTGTGCCTGCGCTGCAGACTGAAACTGTTGGGGCCGCGGGCTCCCCACGCCAAAATTGGACAAGCCTCGAGCAAGCGCTACGGACTTGAGCCAAAATGGCTACGGACTCCTCCTCCTCCTCCTCCTCTTCCTCCTCCTCCTCCTCATCCGACTCCTCCATCCTCCCTACAGTCGGACTTCGTTGGACAGGACAAGCGAGAGGACAAACGACCGTTCCGAGGGCCACACTGCCGTAGGAATGCATGAGGCACGGGTCGCGAGACACAAGACACAAAAGTACCCTTGATTGGGCAAGGTCGACCTACTAATCCGGGCCGACTGTATCTTGGGGTATGATGGCTTCCACATCCCTTTATTCCACTGCATGCTCACCCACATCCCTGATCAGGGAAACTCGCCTGGTATGGTCTTTGGATGGGCGGGTGGGGGTACGAGAAGCTCTTAGAATAGGCCGATGGAGATGGAGGATGGAAAGAGGAGGAGGAGGAGGTGGAGGAGGAGGAGGAGGACGTGGAGGAAGAGGAGGAGGAGGCGGAGGCGGAGGAGGAGGAAGAGGAGAGAAGGGTATGAGAAGGGAAAAGGGGCCGACAATGTGTTCGATGAGTAGTGTGCTGATGGCCTCCAGGTCCAGGGCTTGACGACACGTCTGGGATTCCGACGGGGAGGGGTTACCCATAATGAGACGGAGTGAGGAGGAGGCGGAGGAGGAGGGGGAGGAGAAGGAGGGGAAGGAGGAGCAGGAGAAAGAGGAGGAGGGGGGGAGCAGGAGGAGGAGGAGGAAGAGAAGGAGGAGGATATTGTTTGACATCAACGGCCAAGGGCCCCACCTAGATAGACCAAAAATATAAAGGCTCGATTGAGACCCCATTCTCCTTAGATGGGTACCTTTCCCTGGGAGGAGGAGGACGAGGAGTAGGAGGATGGACGATGGGGAGAGGAGATGGAGGATGAAGACGAGAAGGAGGAAGAGGATAAGGAGGAAAGAGAGGAGGAGGAGGAGCAGGAGGAGGAGCAGGAGGAGGATGGAGAGAGGAGGAGGAGGGTAATCCAAGCCACATCAACGATGTTACAAGAAGCTCTCCCTCCATCTTCCCTCTGCATGTGTCACTGCAAGAAATTATTGCCATTGCGGGACATGCTCCCATTGGAAGACAACTGTCTGAGAATCCTGTCGTGCCAAAGCACCATTCCTGGGACGCCACCGCCGCGATTCAACGTGACTGGTGCGTCCTGACAAGCCTACATCGTGCCAGAGCACATCTCTTGAGACGTACATGCCGCAAATCAACGCGACGGCTGCGTCCTAGCAGTCCCAAACCTTGCCAGATCACCATTCCTGGGACCTTGACCATACAAGTACATGGAAGTGCTGTAAAGCTTGAAACGACTGTGCGCGGTGCTACTGCGAGAGCCGCCTCTTGAAAACCACCCGCCCTCGATCCTCGAAGCTGTTGCAAACTTTGAAAACCAAACGTGCGCGGCGCTGCGGCGAGAGCCGCATGTTGAAAACCAGCCGCCATTCATCCCTGAAGGTGCTACAACCTTTAATCACTAAAATGCGCGGCGCTAAGGCTAGAGCCGCATTTTGAAATCCAACAGCCCCCACTTCTTGAAACTGTTGCAAGTTTCGAACCTCAACATCATAGACAGTGAAGATGTCTCAGAAGAAACGCCCAGCCCGCCCTACCGACACGCTTGGTGTTCCGACGGAGAGGGGTTACCCATAAGGAGACGGGAGTGAGGAGGAGGAGGATGAGGAGGAAGAGGAGAGAAGGGTATGAGGAAGAGGAGGAGGAGGAGGAGGAGGAGGAGGAGGAGGAGGAGGAGGAGGAGGAGGGAAAGGTGGCCGACATTGTGTTCGATGAGCAGTGTGCTGACGGCTTCCAGGTCCAGGGCTTGACGACGCTTCTGGCGTGCGTCCATGCAGTGGTGACGCCGACGGCCATCAGCCGCCGCTGGCAGGGAGAGCCTGACCCACAGCCCGGCGGCGTGCTGGCCCAGAGTTTTTTTCGAAGAGCTCTGCTCGTATCCGAACGACACTAACAGCAAAATGACATCAACAAATAGAAGAAGCATCGTTCCGCACGCACGACGGCGATGCGGCCGATACACCGATGGAAAACGAGCACGAGGGAGGCGTGGAAGCAGGCAGGAGTGGAGAGGGCGGAGGCAGAACGTCCCAGAAGGCATCCCGAGCTCCCTACCCTGCTGCTCTGCTTGTACCTGGAATCACTTCGAGAGTCAGGGTCAACGGCTTGCAGTGTAGCCTGAGCAATCGAGCGACCAGCCAGCCCACGAACCCCCGCGCACGCATCGCGCCTCTCCGAGTGGAAGAGTTGACGCAGGGAAGAAGACGGACGGAGGAGGTGGTGACACCAAAAAGCTCCGATGCTGCCACTCCTTGGACGCCTCCCGGGGTGCGCTCTGAACAAGATTCCAAAGCGAACCCAGCCGTGCCGACGAGGCAAGGGCAGCGGTATCGGCGCCTTCTCCTCCTGTGAGGAAGGTTGATGGTCCTGCGCCCAACTGTGGGTTGGTCAGGCAGCCGGCGCCGCAGCCCTTGCCCATCATGTACTGTCCTGTCGCCGCGGTTAGCGCACGTGCAGCTCGCCATCGCTCGGACGTCCATTCCATGTGCACGTTTCGACCTCGAGCGCTCATTTCGTCCGCAGGAAGATCCAAGATGTTCCTCGATGGCTCCCGCCGAGGATAAACTGCACGCGGCCGAGCGATGCCCAGGCAAGGCGAGGGAGTTGCGCCAGCAGCTGGTGGGGAAAGGGCGGCGGCAGCTCAAGATGCCCCTCGAGGGTCACCGTCGAGGGAGAAATGCGCACGTCCCAGCGATGCCGAAGCACTCGGTGACAACTTACTGGGGCCTTCCATACCACATTGTCGGCTCTTACGAATTGACGCTCGCCGACGCTTGTCGACGCTAATCGGCGCTAAATCGACGCTGGTCGACGCTAAATCGGCTCCATATCATCCACTCCCCTAATCGAAGCTAAAGACGGAATGAAGAGGATATGCCAGGATCCCATGATTTGCCACCGAACATGCAGGGGCGAGGAACTGGCGCCAGCAGCCAGCGAGGAAGAATTCGCTGCACCATCTCGGGGTGGCGCCAGGCTGCGTAGCCCTCCCTGCAGGACTGTTGTCTTGCGGGTGGCGTTCTACAGAGCAAGATGTCTGGCCAGCCCGAGAGGGAGTATGAATATTTAAATCACGTTTGAAGGATTGTATACCTCCCGTGACCTGTAGGAGCATTTCTCTGTCGATGCTCCCCTTGGTGTGGCCGTCCGCAGTCATTTCGCGGATGTCGCACCACTGAATACTGCGCACGGTTCCACGCTCCATCACCTGTCGTATCCAACTGATGTGTCCTAAGAGGGTGCACCCAGTCGGCTTCTTCAAATCTTTGCTTTACAAGGACTTGAAGAAGCTTGACAAGGAGCCTTCTTCAGACTCAGCGTCTATGGTCAAGGTGGCCTTGCTGCTCAAGCCACCCAACTCAAGTATGTCTTTGATAGGGCAAAACAAACCTACCTCGCATTTGACCACCCTCGCTTCCAGGAGATACCAAGCGATGCCAAACCACGGCTTGTACTGGTCAGGCCGCTTGACGAGGAGGCGCGTGGTAAGACTTGGTTTTGCCTGGGAGCGAAAGCGGGGTAGGTAATTCACGCTCTGAGTTCAAGTGGGTGGGAGTGAGCGGCTCTGCGTGGAGCTCGCGCAGAATCACGATCGTGGGATGACAATCCTCCAAATTATGGGCAGCTGCTCGTGTCTCTGCTGAATAGCTCGAGCGGACCTGCAAGCGGTGAGACTTGCAGTGCGCCTCGATCACGTGGACGACGGGCTTACCAAAAGGTGTGTTCCCACGCCGTGGCAGGTTTGCCCCGCGAATACCATAGCCTTTGACGTCGTCGTCGGCGTCTCCACTAAAGCGTCGGTAACCTGGGTCGCTGTGCAGGTCGACCTCGCCCGTAGAGGTCATCGCCTGATAGACGATCTTCTTAGGACAGGCCTGCAACTTCCTGGTGATCGCGTTCAGTCGTCGCACTTGTATATTGGTCGGTTCTTGGACGCGTTGTAGAGATACAACATGCACCATCAACCGCGCCTGGGCGATTAATGCATACGCCAGCGCGCCCCAAAGGCTGACGAACATGTCTGCAAGCATCTTGGACGCCTGGGCATCAGCGTCGGCGCCGGCAAGTGCAGGATGTTGTATGGGACGGGGCTGCTTTATGTATTCGCCTTGATCGGAAGTAAAATTGTCGTCCTCATCCTCGGTATACCTCACAGCACACTTGGTGCACGTCAGCTTGTTGAGTTTACACTTACCAAAAGTGTATTCTACAAACTTGGCATACTTGTCAATGGTGTCCTCAGTACCGGCCATAGTGATATCATCATCATGTTTGGCCGTAAGCAGGTTGCTGCTCGTCTCGAACTCCTCGTCGTAGGACGTGGGTCGGAGACCCAAACCTCTCGTGGTCCTTCCAAGCTTTGGTGGGAAAGCTCGGGGTGCGTCTTTGGTGCCAGCGCCTGGTTTAAGGCACTGCAACCAGTGCTTTGACTCATCGTAATGTTCGAATCCTGGGAGAGTCCGAAGCACCGTGGCCGATCCAAGCGGAAAAGTAAAACACGCCACACGTTTCTTTTCACCAGTTGCCTCAGCAAGTTCCTGGTAGGCAAACCCTCTCAGGAAGGCCATGTTGATGTCGAGGGAAGCAGTGATCCATTGCTTCTTGCACGCTGCCGTGCTCGCGAGTAGACTCTGGCCTGACCGCTGCGCTGTTCCCGAGAAGGTTCCACGTCGAAGGCTTCTAGGTCCATGAATCCTCGAAGCACCAGGCGTAATCTGATGGTGCGTTCCATCTCGCCCTTCTCGTTCTTCACAAACTTCCATTTGTGCACATGCCTCGAAGTCATGCTGTTTGACGTTTTAGATATGAATTGCATTTTGAAACACTTATTGTCAGACCGTGCCTTGAGTTCGGTGTAGAGGGCCTTCGATACGTTCCCGGGATTCGCCTGGACGTCAGCTTTCGCGGAGGTCGTCTTCCTTGACGACCGCAGCTCGATTTGCAGCGGCGGTAACGTATACTCGCATAGTGGTCACGCGGTCGGCATCTAATATCATGTGCTGTTGTTCGAACAGGACTACCCTTGACATTTCTGCCGTAAAGCAGGCTCTACATTTCGTCTGAGTCCAGTCCGTATCTGCAGTCTTCGGCCATGGAGCACAATGGGACGTGATACGTCTCCACGGTGTCGGAGTCGCGTGGGGGTCCCCACTGAGGCAGGTGCCCCCGCTGTTCTTCAGCTACAGTGATCAGCGCACTGCGGTCTGGAACCATATGTGTGGGCATCGTGAAAAGGTCGCAGTTCCCTTTCGCCTTGTAGTTTTGCATCTCGCACTTCCATGACGTATGACTCGAGATCAGCCTCCGATTCCCGAATGAACAATGGGAAGTCGTCCATCCTCATGCGGTGGTGCGGCTTCTGAAGATTCTCTAGCAGTTCCATCCGGTGTCGGTGCAGCTGCCAATTCCTGAAACCTTGTCATGTCCTGGTCAAGGCCTGCTTGAGGTTGGGTGGACTTCAGGCACTGGATGATTCTAGAAATTGCTGGTCATGTTACATCGTGAATGTTCAGCGCGGCGCGTTGTAAATTGCCCCGGAGGCCCCCGAGACGCACAAAGAGGCCTTGAGGATGCCTCCCAAGAGCGCCCCGAGAGGGCAACATCGTTGATTTCCACATGTTTTCTTAATGTTTTCGCATTCTTGCTGCTTCGTGTTTCCGGCGCTAAAACACCGCCCAAGAGGCTCCCAAAATAATTCTTAGACGGCCCAGGAGGCCCCCAGGAGGGCCCCAAGACGGCCCAGGAGAGCCCCGAGAAGATCCCGGAGCCGGCCAAGACGGCGCAACAGGGCCCCAAGAAGGCCCCAAGAGGGACCCAAGAGAGGGAACGCGAAGTGAAAATCAAGCCCTCCGCCCCAAGAGGCCCCAAGACCCAAGAGGCCCCCAGGAAGCCCTCAAGAGGCCCCCCCCCCCCCGAGGCACCCCAAAGGGCCCCAAGACGGCCGCAGAGAGCCCGAGACGGCCCCAGCGCCGCCCAAGACGGCGCAAGAGGGCCCCAAGAAGGCCCCAAGAGGGGCACGCGAAAGGTGACGCGAACTGAAAAATCAAGCTCTCCGCCCCAAGATGCCCCCAAGAGGCCCCTGGGAAGCCCCAAGACGCCCCCAAGGTCCCAAGAGGCCCCCAAGAAGCCCAAAAGAGGCTCCAAGACGGCACCCCAAATGCTCCAAAACTGCTTCTCAGAGGCCCCCGAAGACATGCCAATGAGGCCCCATGACGATTTCAAGAAGCAGTCCAGGATGCTCCGAGGAGGTCCCAAGAGGCCCCCAAGAGAGCCCAAGAGGCCCCCAAGAGGCCCCCAAGCGGCCTCAAGCAGCATCCAGGATGCCGGAAAGAGGCCCCAGCGGCCCAGGCGGGGGCCGAACGAACATTTCCAGCCCTGGGCTCCCGGAAGCCCAACAGGCAGCCCTAAGAGTTCGACCGTCCAGCCTAGCTAGAACTTGAGCGCGCGCGAAGCGCGCGCGATGTGTGTGTGTGTGTGTGTGTGTGTCTTTGTGTGTGTGTGTGTGTGTGTCTTTGTGTGTGTGTGTGTCTTTGTGTGTGTGTGTGTGTCTGTGTGTGTGTGCGTGTGTGTGTGTGTGTGTGTGTGTGTGTGTGTGTGTGTGTGTGTGTGTGTGTGTGTGTGTGTGTGTGTGTGTGTGTGTGTGTTTTCTCTCTCTCTCTCTCTCTCTCTCTCTCTCTTCTCTCTCTCTCTCTCTCTCTCTCTCTCTCTCTCTCTCTCTCTCTCTCTCTCTCTCTCTCTCTCTCTCTCTGAGAGAGAGAGAGAGAGAGAGAGAGAGAGAGAGAGAGAGAGAGAACGGACAAGTAGGCGGACCAGGGTCCGTCCGCGAGGCGCACTGCGGTGCGACAACCCGCAAAACACTATTAGCGGCAATGCAGCCTTAAGATACGAGGGCGGGCGACAGGCCCCCTCCCCCGGCGCAATGCGTCTGAAGTAAAAGACGGCGGACAGACCGCGAAGATCTCACCTGTCAGACCGCGTGAAGAAGAAAGCCCCAACGCAAGTGGCGACGTGAAGAACGTGGCTAAGGCGGCTTGGCGGACCGCCGGTTGGGCGCTTGGCCGCTGCGCGGCGCGCAGAGACGGGGCACCCCCCGCCCCCGCGCCCAGGCCCCGCGGACGCGGTGCCTCGCGGGCGCACGGGCTGGCGAAAAGAGAAAAGGTGCACCAGCTGGGAGCCGTATGGCCCAGCACAGTGCGCACGGGCCGAGAACCCCAACAGGAGCGGCAAAAGCTAGCCGACAGCACAGCGGCACAGCCGCTGCCAGCTAACCTCTAGCCCCCATTGGCGGGCCTCGAAAGGGACAGAGTCCGCGGGCAGGCGGCGGACGGCAGAGGGGCGCCAGACGCGCTGAGGAAAAGGTGCACATGCTGGGAGCCGAATGGCCCAGCATGCGCACAGGCAGAGACAGTGCAAGGGTGCAGAGGAGGCCCTCA